ATTCATTCATATTCAGTGTTAAACCACTTAATTTTCAAGGAATTGTCCATTTAATTTCATTAAAATATCACATATTTTCACAAACCTGTACGATTTAAAGTCAGGTGGAAAATCAGAAATCATTATATGAATATGCTATATTAGGAGCACAGATAGGTACGGTCTGATTGCATTAATTTGCGTGATTACGGTATTCACATACTATTAACATGCCACATACTAATAATATGCTCCTGAGTTTCATTAAGGTACACTTCCATCACCAATATACATATATGGAGTAAAGTCAGCCGGATGTTAGAAAATCGTAATATTAGATATGTATATGGAACTAGGTTAAGTTTTCACCCGATTTTATCCATTTTAGGCACAAAGATACATTGTTATTAGTAAAACAGCACATAAAGTAAATCGGAAGTTCGAAAATCTTGAATAGGGTATCTTTCAAGAGAAGCCTTCATCCAATTCAACCCATTTTAACATACATAGTCATACTGTTATTCAGAAAAGGATTTGCTCCGAATTTCAATAGCATATTTCACAGAATGGCTGATATTTTCGATAAAATGTTCGCTGTAAGAACTGCGATCCACATATCGGTATCTGGTGCTTGAGCAGTTGTACTTCGATTTTGAAAATTTTGGTCATAAGGTGGTCTACTTTAAGCGCACTATTCGACAATTTAAAAATGTGTTATATGGAAGTAGCGGGGTTGTAGTCCGATTTCGCCATTTTCACATATAAAATGTCAAGATAATATTACATACCAAATTTGGTCGATATTGGTTGAGTAGGTCCTGAGTATGAGTTGTCGTAGTAATGCTTAACTGATTTGTTCTGAGCGAATTGCGTTATTATAGCTTGAATGGTTTGGGAGATATGTGCATTAAGTCTGATTACGCTTATCTACTAACTCGTTCTTAATTTTTGCCAAAAATACGAGTATAAATTTCATTATCATTCACCGTTAGGTGAGCAATAAACTATTATACTTCGTAGCAACATGTCAAGAGTGTCTAACTAAGAATTAATTGAGATACAAATGGTAATTTGGTGAAACGGATCGCAGTAAGGACGCTTGTGGACTAAACATTTATAACAAGCGGGCGTGGCAAAACCCTCTACATGGTTAAATGCAGATATCTTCCAAACCACCTAAACTATCTCAACAAAACTTGCTGAAAGAAGTCTTTTAATACAATGTGAGTCTTTATACAATGGAAAAATAAATAACTACGCGAACTCCCAATATAACGTTTATGTGAAAATTAATAAAAGTGCGATATCTTATTGAATAAAATAGCCACAATCATTAAATTTAACAGACAGGATGGCATGAAAGGGCTTTGTAGGAGCCGGTGTAAAAATTGTACATTTGCGTGGCACCCCCTACTTTTAGGTAAAATCCTATATCGCAGGAACTACTGGACCATTTTTAATCAAATTTGGTTACCAATCCTTTCTATCATCTGCGAAATCCGATCAAAACCATGCTACTTCCATGTAACAAATTTTAAATTCCATCTGATTCTTTCACTTACAGTATACAAATCAAACATCAATGCAGTTATTAAGGTAAAACTTTGCACAAATAGAATGTTGAAATTTCATCTAACGCCCAAAAATTGTTGAAATAGGACGGCGAAAATTTTCGATTTTTACGATCAGTGTGCACTCAGTATGTCGTGTATGGCTTGTGTACACACATTGTTCATTTAGAAACAATAAATGCTACTACAATAAATCTATATCAGAATTATAAAAAGTACAATTCAATTATTCGCTTGATTCTGGAACATGTTTACTCATTGAAGGACGAACGTAAAATTGAACTGTAAGTCGTGAATGGCGAAAATACTTCACACGATCGAAAACATATATGTTTGTTTTAACTTTTTTCATTTGTGAAAATTTTAAAATATCAACATTCCGTCGAAGTTTGAATGAAATTATTATAATAGAGAAACGTCCGTGCTAGCAGTTTAACCATAAAATATATCAATATAGGTAGGTAGTAGGTAGGTAGCTTTAGGTGACTAATATAAGAAACAAAATTAGAATTCGAATTCCGAATTTCGGCCTACAGCTCTCAAAGCAATTAGATAAAATTGCTTTTCAACGGGCTTTATCCTTTCTGAGGAAATTTTATACCTTGAATTCCATTACGAACCATATCAAGGAAACCGTTAAGCCAATGTTTTAAAAGCAATTTAGAGTTAAATTAGTAACTAATTTTGACCATCGTTGGACAAACTTCAGAACATCTTTATCTGATTTAAGTGTAACGTTAATATGAGGGCTAAAATGAAATTTAAATGAGAGTCAAATTTAGTCGAGGTCTTGTCCACTTAAATACCGAAGTGCAGAGGAAACTCTGGTAGACCGTGGAGCTCTCGGTTGAGTTGGTTCTGGATCTAGGTTCAAAAAGCGATACGATGATAGTTATGGGATGAATTTTAGAATTAGAATCGTATATAGCTGACACGACGCATGGTGCATCTTTGACATCGAAATTACCGGAACGGAACCTAACAAATCACTTTTGTGCTATACGTTCGTTTACAGTATCGGGCCCATAAACTAAATTAATGTTTTCAGCCGCTTTGGCTGCTTTTTCGCTTTGATCGAAGAAAAATTGTAAAATATAGCGAATTTTCTCTTTGTTGGTGTCCATCTTTGACGAGCGCTCACAACGAACTGAGTAAATCAATCGAAAAACTGTCAAAGACAAACACGAATAAACACGTTTTCAGCGCCGTATAGTATGACATGATGCGACACGTACACTAATACTATGGACAATAACGCCATCTCTTAGATAAAAACCGAACGAACTTTTTACTTTACCTAATATCATAACAATATCAACAACAAAGCTCTCCAAATCGTCTGGAAAACTGCACAAAAACAAAACACATAGGAGATCCTTTGGTACAACAGTGTCCATTTCTTTCAGACTTTCTGAGATGCTACAAAAATTATTAATTTGAACTGCCATTGTTTCCTAATTTTTAATTTGGAATCGAAACAGACTTAAATAAATTAACTTTTCTTCATGATGTTTTTGCTCGATATATTTCTTTTAACTTAATCCATACTTCTGCAGCATGTGCACAATTTTCCACATGAAACAGTTCCGACGGTTTCAAACACAACGTAATAAGAGAATGTTAATAAATAGAGAAGGCGCAAATGTTGGCTGATCTAAAATGTAAACTATTAAAAGGGAACATCGAAAATGCGCAAATTCGAAAGTTCAATTACACCACGTCAAAAAAGTACCTTCCCCTCATGAAAATCGAACTCAACAAACTACACCACTCTAACAAGGAGTGTATGTGGCCCACAAGCTGCTTCCTCACAACATTTGCTAAAAATCAGAAATTGAAGAATTTGTCTGATTTGCCCTACAGAAAGAGAATTGGCAACCTATTAGCGATTTGAAATATTATTTTAATTTATTTTATATTATGCACTATATATGGCATTAAATTATAAAATTTATATAAAATTTCTATTGATATGCACACTGCATGTAGTACCTTTAAATGTTTACTTATTATCATTATTTCATGGTTTTTCGATTTAGCCCATTTTATCTAAATACGACGCTATGAAAATACACACTAATCGGTAGTCGCAGTATTTCAAGAGAGCATAAATCAATTTTCAAAAGCAAACCACTGCAAAAAGAACAAACTAGACAACATAGCCGACCGACATTGTCGTAAAATTGTCCATTGAAACAAATTTTGTCAACTCCGCGACGATGCCCAAAATTTGGAGTCAATATGTATGCGAGCTCGTATGTATGTATATATGTTTGTCGGCATAGTTGTCATTTGGTTTTTTTCAACGTTTTGTCAGAAGTCAATTTTTTGCTCCGCCCCGTCACTGCGCGAACTCGCCGTTACTTCCATGGCGTGCCATCAGGTCAGAGGCGTTTAAACGGCGGGTTTTATCATTTTATTATATTGATTAATTTGTAATGAGAAATACTGATATCTTACGGTTTATTTACGTGATATTATAATATAAGAGTAAAAATATAAATACACGTGAATTCATACTTACTTCAATGTTTTTAAAATAAACTTGATTAATAAAAATATATCTGAAATAATTATGTGGCAGTGAGCCCCTGATCCCTCCTTGCCTGTGATCGTTCAACTTGCTTCGTTCTAGCAGTTCTCGTAAAAAGCCATTGTATAAATCTACAAGTAACTAATCCTAAGATTTTCCCTAATGCACAAGCAAAAATATCCCACTTGGTACGAGTTGCCTCGAAAATTCTACTACTAAAATCACACTTGGTACGGGTTGCCAACCAATATTCTGCTACTAAAGTCACACTTTGTACGGGTTGCCAACCAATATTCTACTACTAAAACGTCCAAATGACAGAAATCTGCTCTAGTGTGTTGCCGTGTTATGTTTTAAAATTATAACTTAAAGAATGTTTTTATTCTATATTCCAATATTTTTGGGTTGTTTTAATTCCTAAAGATTAAATTTACATAGTATTATTTAAATTATCATTCATTGTATTGAAATATTTTCCAATTTTATCAAATATATTATTGTGTAACGGTGATTTATAATATTTTGTGAATATTATTTATTACTTAGTAGATTGTTTTGATTATTGTTATTGTTCCTGAATTGTACCTCATTTTTTATATTTATTTCTTTCTTGTTCAAATCAAATAATTAATATTCATGAACCTGATTCATGTACCTGAACGACGCAAAACCGTGTCCTAAATCAGCTGATACGACCTATCTCATAAGAAAACAATGTAAATGATCAGTCACCACACCGTACGATAGGATATCCGCGAAAATTGGATTTTTTTTAGTTGGATTTTAGTTTTAAGCTTTTACAATATTAAAAATTATAACTAAAAAACTAAATATGTGAAAAATCGTGTATACAAATAGAATAATGGCAACATTGGTGCAATGAAAACAAAAGAGAACAACTGATTTCTGCGTTGCACATACGGGCATAACTTTTGACAAATTTGATTTGATACGGACGGTAAGTAAGGAAGGGAGGAATATCGGTGACTGTTTGTGCTATTAATCTTAACTCCTGCAGATGCATCCTCTGGTACAGATGACATGACTGTTTACGAATAATTCATGGTAATTAAGAGGCTTTTCATTTGCATAGCCCAGCTCTCATAATTTTCACCATTTAATTTTTCAATATGTAAAACCGATCCGCTCATTTTTATTTTCAATAAAACGATATTAATTATATCGACCTGAAGCGACTATATCGAAACACGTGATGGGTCTGGGCCCATAACTTTTGTTCGAACATTTAACACAAAGACGTTCGTTCAATACGAAATGTTTTATTGAAGTAAAAAAAAAGTACATAGTATGTAAAAATAACAATAGTAAAGAGTAACAGGTGTAATACATAAGAAAGAAATTATGTACATATACATGTTACATCATCTGGTCTCTCTGTCACAGATAAAAGACCACCTGGTGCAAACATCAACTTCAATGCAGTACCAGGTAACTTAAACAATCACTATTCTTGCCTCAACGTCCAGCCCAATATTGATGCACACATCATGGCAGTTACATCTTGAGCTTTGGTTCATCCAGGTGGAGGCACAGCTTGGGTCGCAAAATATCTGGAATGACAACATCATGTACCAGGCAGTCCTCGGTACCTTGAATCCTGAAGTATTCAAGGAGGTCTCCGACATCCTCTGGGCTCCACCAGTGCAAGATAAGTATACGTATCTAAAAACTAACCTCATTAACCGTTTCATCGATTTAGTTCATCGCCAGTTGTATAAGCAGTTGACAGAGCTTGAGCTTGGAAATCGGAAGCCCAGCCAGCTTCTAAGGGAGATTAAGACCCTGGCTGCCATCAGAGCATCAGAAGAGCTTCAGAAACATGATCACGATCCCGAACTCCAAAACCATCAGGTCTCTGTTTTTATCACAGCAGATTTGGTGAGAAAGTCATCGATGGCTTCAACCCTGCACCTACAAGTCTGTTAGCAACCACGGAAACTAGCAAGGCTTTTGGCGACAGCAGTCATTATGTTCCATCCAGCAAGGAGTACCACCTGCATGTACATGACATATTATACCAGAGGTTCCTTGTTGACTCTGGCTCAGTGGTCTCTGTAGTATCACAAGCTATAGTCAAGCAAAAACTGGAACTGGTCAGGCACTCCCTTTTTTTTAGAGAGGGAGAAAGTGGCGCCTTACGCAAAATTCGGGGAGGTGGGGTTGGACGTGGCTTGGTTTGCTCTTGCAGTGATGTTAATTACAAGTAATTACTATTAGTATTGTTAATAAATTGTATTTTCTATTGGTAAACTCAATGTAAATTTAATATATTGAATTGATGTGCAAAACGACAACCAGCGGATCGAAATTCTTCATATTAGGGATATGAGATTTAGACCGAGTTTTAGACAAATTCCATTCATATTCAGTGTTAAACCACTTAATTTTCAAGGAATTGTCCATTTAATTTCATTAAAATATCACATATTTTCACAAACCTGTACGATTTAAAGTCAGGTGGAAAATCAGAAATCATTATATGAATATGCTATATTAGGAGCACAGATAGGTACGGTCTGATTGCATTAATTTGCGTGATTACGGTATTCCACATACTATTAACATGCCACATACTAATAATATGCTCCCTGAGTTTCATTAAGGTACACCTACCATCACCAATATACATATATGGAGTAAAGTCAGCCGGATGTTAGAAAATCGTAATATTAGATATGTATATGGGAACTAGGTTAAGTTTTCACCCGATTTTATCCATTTTAGGCACAAAGATACATTGTTATTAGTAAAACAAGCACATAAAGTAAATCGGAAGTTCGAAAATCTTTGAATAGGGTATCTTCTAAGAGAAGCCTTCATCCAATTCAACCCATTTTTAACATACATAGTCATACTGTTATCAGAAAAGGATTTGCTCCGAATTTCAATAGCATATTTCACAGAATGGCTGATATTTTCGATAAAATGTTCGCTGTAAGAACTGCGATCCACATATTCGGTATCTGGGTGCTTGAGCAGTTGTACTTCGATTTTGAAAATTTTTGGTCATAAGGTGGTCTACTTTAAGCGCACTATTCCGACAATTTAAAAATGTGTTATATGGGAAGTAGGCGGGGTTGTAGTCCGATTTCGCCCATTTTCACATATAAAAATGTCAAGATAATATTACATACCAAATTTGGTCGATATTGGTTGAGTAGGTCCTGAGATATGAGTTGTCGGTAGTAATGCTTAACTGATTTGTTCTGAGCGAATTGCGTTATTATAGCTTGAATGGTTTGGGAGATATGTGCATTAAGTCTGATTACGCTTATCTACTAACTCGTTCTTAATTTTTTGCCAAAGAATACGAGTATAAAATTTCATTATCATTCACCGTTAGGTGAAGCAATAAACTATTATACTCTGTAGCAACATGTTGCAAGAGTGTCATAACTAAGAATTAATTGAGATACAAAATGGTAATTTGGTGAAACGGATCGCAGTAAGGGACGCTTGTGGACTAAACATTTATAACAAGCGGGCGTGGCAAAACCCTCTACATGGTTAAATGCAGATATCTTCCAAACCACCTAAACTATCTCAACAAAACTTGCTGAAAAGAAGTCTTTTAATACAATGTGAGTCTTTATACAATGGAAAAAATCAAATAACTACGCGAACTCCCAATATAACGTTTATGTTGAAAATTAATAAAAGTGCGATATCTTATTGAATAAAATAGCCACAATCATTAAATTTAACAGACAGGATGGCATGAAAGGGCTTTGTAGGAGCCGGTGTAAAAATTGTACAATTTGCGTGGCACCCCCTACTTTTAGGTAAAATCCTATATCGCAGGAACTACTGGACCATTTTTAATCAAATTTGGTTACCAATCCTTTCTATCATCTGCGAAATCCGATCAAAACCATGCCTACTTCCCATGTAACAAATTTTTAAATTCCATCTGATTCTTTCACTTTACAGTATACAAATCAAACATCAATGCAGTTATTAAGGTAAAACTTTGCACAAATAGAATGTTGAAATTTCATCTAACGCCCAAAAATTGTTGAAATAGGACGGCGAAAATTTTCGATTTTTTACGATCAGTGTGCACTCAGTATGTCGTGTATGGCTTGTGTACACACAATTGTTCATTTAGAAAACAATAAATGCTACTACAATAAATCTATATCAGAATTATAAAAAGTACAATTCAATTATTCGCTTGATTCTGGAACATGTTTACTCATTGAAGGACGAACGTAAAATTGAACTGTAAGTCGTGAATGGCGAAAATACTTCACACCGATCGAAAACATATATGTTTGTTTTAACTTTTTTTCATTTGTGAAAATTTTAAAATATCAACATTCCGTCGAAGTTTGAATGAAATTATATTATAATAGAGAAACGTCCGTGCTAGCAGTTTAACCATAAAAATATATCAATATAGGTAGGTAGTAGGTAGGTAGCTTTAGGTGACTAATATAAGAAACAAAATTAGAATTCGAATTCCGAATTTCGGCCTACAGCTCTCAAAGCAATTAGATAAAATTGCTTTTCAACGGGCTTTATCCTTTCTGAGGAAATTTTATACCTTGAATTCCATTACGAACCATATCAAGGAAACCGTTAAGCCAATGTTTTAAAAAGCAATTTAGAAGTTAAATTAGTAACTAATTTTGACCATCGTTGGACAAACTTCAGAACATCTTTATCTGATTTAAGTGTAACGTTAATATGAGGGCTAAAATGAAATTTAAATGAGAGTCCAAATTTAGTCGAGGTCTTGTCCACTTAAAATACCGAAGTGCAGAGGAAACTCTGGTAGACCGTGGAGCTCTCGGTTGAGTTGGTTCTGGATCTAGGTTCAAAAAAGCGATACGATGATAGTTATGGGATGATTTTAGAATTAGAATACGGTATATGAGCTGACTCAAGGATATCTCAGAGTGGGTGGCAAGAATGGACGTAGTAATTACCTCACATGAAACTGAACAGGTTTTATTTACTAGAAGCTTATAGGTTCCAAAAGTCCTTCTCCCTTTTATGGGTATCATTATCTAGTGCTTCGAGCTAAGAAACTCTTATGTAGACGTATATCGAGGAGAGAGCAAAGAAAACATTGTTTGCCTTATATTGCTCTAACGGAACTATTGGCAAAGAATGGAGTTTCTCAAAAAGGTTTTACTTTGGATTGTTATGTTGATCCATGTATCCATGTTAGGATTATCCATCTATGCAAAATCAAGGCTCAAGCTTCTGGGATTTTACATCTTAAGACATCTATGTGTACTAGGAAAATTGAAAAGAAAAACACCTACTACGATTTATGATGGGTTGAAGAGGTTTTGTCAATCCATGAGATCCAACTAGAACAGTGCTTATTTAGAAGGTATATTACATAATATGCGTAAAATATGTATTATTTCAAATTATTAAAGTCAATTGAAAGTTCATTAATCAGTATATTAATTACTTGGCTGTTAGAATAAACGATGCAAACTACACACCATGTAATTATTAGAAAATTATTCTCAGACATACATATGTATGTTGGTACTGAGGTTCACACATTAAGTATCTAGAAAATCTTGCAATGTTGTAGTCCGATTTCGACCACTTTTATATGGAGGTGCTACCGATATTTTCGTTGATGAATGTATGATGTAGTGCTTACGGCTAGCCGGCTCAAGGTTCTAGGCCATTGGACCCAGGCTCAACACCACTGCGTGCTCCGGCTAGATGGATCAAAAGGTAAAATAGGAACAAGAAAAACTTTTTTTCTGTAACAATCCATACACAAAAGGAATCTTCAAACTAAATGACTACAATTCAGGCTTTTAGAAATTGTTGGAATAACAGAAGGCGAAAACTAGGCTTCTGTTCTAACCAGCCAGTTCATTACTTTTTAATGAATAGCCGAGTGGCAACAAAGGCTATCTTCGAACACAAAATACTACAAATATACTTTGGGGTAGTGTTGATGTGGGACAGACTAAAAGGCTTATAATACTTTTAGTTAAGGGGAAACTAAGTTACATTGTAGGGGTCATCATAGGTCTATACCTCTATATATAATATATTGGCGACGATTATTAGAAAACTTCATTTAATATATGTAAGTTAAATGTTTTATATTTGTTGATGTTTAAAAATTTTTAAACTATACATACATTTTTACAAAACATGTGCATATATGAAATAAAATTATTTTCGTAGATAGTTTTTCCTTTACCAATAGGAGCCAGCAAATGGATAAGCGGCATATGAAGACCACCACGGAACAGTAGAATATGAGGAATAATAGGGCTCAGCATACGAGGGTGCCGAGAAAGCCACCGATGGTGTGGCAACAGCAAAGGAAGCGGCATAAGGGTGTGATATCAACCATTGGGGTTTTGCTGTGGTTATGGTGACAAGCGCAAGAAAGCAAATTTCGAACTATTTGAGACAAAAGTGTGTTAGGTTATGGCTTCAAATTAATTGCAAAATGTTTTATTAAACTAATATACAACAATAACTTGATACAAATAAGAATAATCACTTACATATGTATATACACTTGTTAACTTATATAATTTCAAATATCATAATCTGGGTTCAGTAAATAGGTTGGCTTTGATTTGGTTGAAATAAAAAAGCGACATTTTCGCAACTAGTGATTTTAATCGGCATATACGGGTGTGTACATAGCCCATTACCCACTCATTGCCTAATGTTCTGAATTTCATGTCCTCAAATGAATGCAAGATTTCGAGTTTTACTAGTTTCGCGTTCAGCATTATAGTATTTCTGTTTTATTGCTCCAAGCTTATAAAAAGTTATACTTCCTTTTGGCACAGTAAAATGCTAATTATTTTTTCGCAATGGTAATTAAAACAGAAAAAAAGTTAACTTCTGTTGCACCGAAACTATAATACCCTTCACATATACAAAAGATTATTTATAAGAATTTGATTTTGATCGGTCAGTTTGTATGGCAGCTATATGCTGTAGTGACTCGATCTGAACATTTTTGTGGAGTATCGCACTATTGCTTTAGACAATAAACCATACCATGAAAGAATTTCCTCAAATAAGAAAGTTGTACACGCAAGCACTTGATCGTCCAGTTTATATGGCAGCTATAGGCTATAGTGATTCGATCTGAACAATTCCTTCGAAGATTATACCATTGCTTTAGAAAATAAACCGTGCCAAATTTCGTGAATAAATCTCTTAAATGAAAAAGTTGTTTATGCAAGTATTTGATTCCGATCGTTCAGTTTGTAAGGCAGCTATGTGCTATAATCCGAACCGATTAATTTCTTTTGAGATTGCACCATTGCCTTGGACAAAAAACCATGCTAAATTTGGTGTATCTATATGCATAGGGGTCCGATATCGGCGGTTCCGACAAATAATCAGCTTCTTAGGGAGAAAAGAACGTGTGCAAAAATTTAGATCGATATCTCTAAAACTACGGGACCAGTTCGCCTATGTATGGACTGACCCACAGACAAACGTACACGTCTAAATTGACTTAGCTCGTCATGATGAATTATGTACATATATATATTTTATAGCTTCTCCAAAGTTTCCTTCTGGGTATTACAAACTTCGTGGCAATGATGAACAAAGCGATACCGATTGCTCTATATAATGATTGAGGCAATATAGAACACCACATTTTATTCAAGAAATATTTGCATTACTGTACGTTTTACGCAATCAAAGTTGTTTTCCGTCGATGCCTTAAGAAGATCTCTTGGGCATTTGAGTTTCGCACCAGGATCATACTTAATACAATATAATGTTAATTATAACATTAATTTATATTAAAACTTTAGATTTTTGAATATATTAACATATGTAGGTACATATGTATATACACACTTACACATTTAAACATTCTGTTATATTTTGCGTAGCTTTTATTTTAGACAAGAAAATTAATGTAGCAGAATTGGTGGTTGTTGAACGTTTGACAACTTTGTTAGAAATGGTCAATCTTATATTTGAAACTATCTGCCTTAGAAGAAAAGCAAACATGAAATGTTTATTGTTGAGACCGCGCTTTCACACGAATATTTTTGTTAGTCATCATCGGGAAATTGTCTTTTGGTGTTGTTTATTGCATTAGAACGGGTGAGAAGAGTATTACCCCGACATCATATATTTAGATTCTTCTACGCTTCATTTATGATGTACACGCAAATATCAAGTTTCTTTTTATAATTATTCACCATTTTCTAAAATATATCTACTATATTATGCATATTTGCTGACATATTTTCATATTATTTGCAAAAAAATCGAGCGTAATTGCAATCATGGAAAGGGTTTCAAAATGAAAATAAATGCCGAACTCCGAACTGTTACCAAAAAAAAACATGTTGCCTAAATACGAGCGACTCGGTCTTTAATCTTTCCTCGCCGCCCCTGGCTGACTAAGTACCTTGTTTAGTAAAAAAAAATTCGTGTGTAGACACAGTATAATTGTAATTTCTATTCCAATAGTATGTACAGTGACGGTTAAATAATTTAAGTGAGAGTGAAAAACAAAATATTAAAAACCAACAGAATTATAAATACAAATTTTAGAGTTAGATAAATAAAATAATAAAATGTAGAAAAATATATCAACTAATGTAATGAGTATTAAGAATTTATTTATATATTTTGAAATTTTAAACAGAAAACTCAAATAGAAAGTAAAATAATACTTACTATTTGGGTACTCATTATAATACTTTGATTTTCACACTAATAAATGCGATTTAAATGTATAATCTTTTGCGCCTCTGACACTAATAATCCCATTCTTTATAATTTTCTCAAATTTTCGCACACTTATTATTTCATAACGCGGCTGTATATAAACACATTTGGGTATGTACTTATATGAAGCAACATTTTCCCAAAAAGGATATTGTATATAAATTATCAAATATAATATTCAAAATATCAACGTGGTAATTTTTTTGTCTACCGTAAGCCGACGTGTTCTGACTTAAATAGGTATAATAGGCACATGTACATATCATATTCTAACGTTGTGAATGCATGTATTGAAAACATAATAAACTTAACATATTTAGTTTTATGATCTAAGGCCTTGGAGAATTTTACAGATTTGTACACGACACGCGACAAGCATTACCGATTTTTATCCGTATGCATTGTACATATGTGTTCTTTCAACAAACGCGGAAGTTACATATCGCTTATACGTAAAAAGATGAATAATAAATTTCTATGTATCTACATTTACATATAATATCTGTCGTCCATCACAAGATTGTTTTTATACCTATTTACCTTTTTTTTAATATTTTATTGATATGATCAGTATTATATCGGGCATCAGGCACGACCAATCCATATAGGCAAGTTAGGCAATTGCCTAGAGCACAAGGAGACATTAAATTTTATCACTGGGTTGGTATAAGATGATTTTTTAGGAACTACGTTCAAAATTAGATAGTGGGCGTAGCGCCGCCCACTTTTAGGTGAAAACCCATATATTGGGATCTGCTTAACCGATTTCAACCAAATTCGGTACATAATATTCCTCTCATATTTCTATGTTATAGTACGAAAATGGGCGAAATCGGATTACAACTACGCCTATTTCCCATATAACACCATTTTAAATCTGATTCTTTCATTTTCCACTTTACAAACCAAGCAACAATAATTGTATCGGAATAAAACTTTGAGTGAGTAATGCGTTTAAAGTGTGCCACCTTGTGACAAAAAAATTCTCTAAATCGACCCAAAACTGTTCAAGCCCCTAGGCCTAGAGTTGACTTTTTACAGAAAATATCGTTAATGTGTAAGATATATAACTGAAATTCATATAAAAAATAAAAAGTAAAACTCTCGATAATAGTATGTTTTGTGTCAAAAATGGGTTGAATCGGATCAATAAAAAATTGCTAATAATAATTCACCATTGGACGTTTGAAATAATATAGTATGTTGATAACACTTTCTGTGTCGGTAGTTAGGTTCTCTAATTAAAACTTATCAAAACCTACTTGCGCTCTACAGTGAAGTGGTACAAACTTAAAATTACAAATTAAAGACAAGAAAATATTTAAATATTTCACTTTATTGTGTGCGGTGCCACGCCCACTATCTAATTTTGAACGTGGTTTCTATAAAATCATCTTATACCATCCCAGAGAGAAAATTGAATGTCTCTGGCTTGTTTAGTGATTGATTTATCGCGCTTTGAGTAGTTTTTAACAGTACCGTTATATGGAGAGTGGGCGGGGTTGTCACCCGATTTCACCCATTTTCACACCGTCGATCGAAAGGCTAAAAACATTTGTTCCCAGTGAATTTTGTTATTGATATTATACCTTCAGTGGTATAGGAGATATGCACATTAACTGCACTGCCCCTCCCTAATGTAATCCTGTATACCAAATAAGAGTCTTGTATCTTGTTGTGGAGATTAGTTATGGCAATTTATTTGTTTTTGATGATGTCGCTTTGTGGGCGTGGCAGTGGTCCGATTACGCCCATCTGCAATATCAACTGTCTTACGGTACCAAGAGACACGTGTACCAAGTTTCATAAAGATATCTCAAACTTTACTGAAGTTACAGCTTTCAACTCGTCTCTTCTTCCTGATCATTTATATATGTATATATATCTAACTCGATTAGTTTTAGGTGCTACAAACAACCGTTAGGTGAACAAAACTATTATACTCTTTAGCAACAAGTTGCGAGAGTATAAAAATGGGTCAATATAAACGGTTTAAAGTCAAGTGGAAAGTCCGAAATTCGTGGACCGATTTCAGACATATATATCATTAGACTAGACTATATATTATATATATACGTTCACTTGTTTTTCCTAAGATATCTTACATGTTGACCGATTTATATGGCATAAAGTCAACCGGAAGTATGAAAATCTTGATATTATATTAGGTGTATGGGAGCTTGGGAAGTTGTGACCCGATTTTACCCATTTTTGACATCACTGCAATTTAGTGATATACGTCACAGATTGACCGATATTTCTAGTAAAAAGTTAGCCATGAACACGGGTACACTTATTCGACATCTGGGGGTTTGAAAGGTTATGGTCTGAATTAAACAATTTGTTGACTCGAAATGGCATACCTTAAAAGCCCTATTTGTGCACATATTTATTGGATTTGGAATTTAAAATTGTGTTATATGGGAAGTAGGCGTAGTTGTGTTCGCTAATTTTCACACCTTAATGTAGAAATGTTAGGATAGGGTTATGTACCGCATTTGGTTGAAATTGGTAAAGAAAATCCTGATATACGTGATTTGACTTAAAGTAGAGCGGTGCCACGCCCCTTGTATAATTTTGACACCGGCTTCTATAACGTCTTTCCGTAGCATCTTGGCTGTGTTTTAATGTTTCTGTCGTATATACACAATGTCGGAGAAGGTGCTTAATGACTTAATTATGGCATGCTATATGTTTCAGATTAATGCCATTTTGTGGGCGTGGGCTTCTCTTGGCGCTAAGAAACTTGCGTACCAAGTTTCATCAAGATATCTAAATTTATACTCAAGTTATCACTTGCACAGATGGACGGCCCACAGACAGCCACCCGGATTTCAACTTGTCTCGTCACCCTGCTAATACCTAACATACCTAATTTTCATTTTAAGTTTTAATATCTGCTTTAATATTTTTTCTAATTTACATTCTATTAACTAACTCAATTTTTTTACAGCTGTGGTCTAAAATTAAAATTCTGCGTTATTAGTGACTAAGATGTTAAATGTTACCAAAAATATTCCGTATATTATCAGGATTGTGTTCCTATTTTCAATAGTGCTCGCACTGTTATACGTTAAAATTGTTGGTTCCTATAAAATCATCTTATACCATCCCAGAGATAAAATTTAATGTCTCTGGCGTGCTTAGTGCTTGGTTTATCGCGCTTTTAGTATTTTTTAACAGTACCGTTACATGGCGAGTGGGCGGGCTTGTCACCCGATTTCACCCATTTTTACACCGTTAATAGAGGTTCTAAAAAAATTTGCTCCCAGTGAATTTAGTTATTATAGCTTTAGCGGTTTAGGAGATATGCACATTAAACTTATTAGGGGCGGGACCACGCCCACTTACAAAAATTTTAACTGCAGATGCCCCTCCCTAATATGATCCTTTGTACCAAATAACAGTCTTGTAACTTATTGTGGAGCTTTGTTTTTGATTAATGGCGTTTTGTGGGCGTGGCAGTGGTCCGATTACGCCCATCTGCAATACCAACCGTTTCACGGTACCGAGAAACATGTCTACCAAGTTTCATAAAGATATCTCAATTTTTACTCAAGTTAGAGCTTGCACGGACGGACGCACGAACAGACAGTCACCCGGATTTCAACTCGTCTCTTCATCTTTATCATTTATATAATATATATATAACCCTATATCTAACTCGATTAGTTTTAGGTTATACAAACAACCGTTAGGTGAACAATTATATACTCTGTAGCAACAAGTTGCGAGAGAATAAAAATATAGAGTATATACACTGCGTTTCATTCTTCATTTCTTCATTTCTTCATTTTAGCATTAGCATTCTTCAGGTTTAAATAGTTTTGTCGATTATTAAGAATTAATTTTTTTACTAAATAAAACAAAAATTAGCGTTTCTCCTTTTTTCCATATTTATTTAATAACTTTTTTTGGAAATCAACAAAAAATAAGCAATTTAATAATATTCTTTAACAAGAACATATTTTTAAACTTATGTATTAACCAATTGAAACAAATGCATATTATTTTAATAATGAGTCGATCCCGCCTTGGTGAGAATGATCTCAAAGATCCGATTGGGTAGCGATTCGTACAAATTCTCCAATATAATTGAAGGAAATTAATGGCAAAGCATTTTTAAAACCTTCAACTAATTAATCGTTAGTGGAATACTGCCGGTCAGACTTTGGGAGCCAATCATCTCCACATATTTTTTATTACATTGATGTCAGGTGAGTATGGCGTTCACCGCAAAAAAAAATCGCCGCTTTGTCTTCAATCCCAGATATTAACACTCGAACAGAGTGAATCGGTGCATTGTCGGATCGTATCAAAATTCCAAACTAATTTTTAAAATAAAAGCAGTTTCCACAGTTCCTGAGATATAGGATTGCACCTGATAAGGGCGCGTCAATTGTCCAATTTTACAACTACACCTACAAAGGCCTTCCTTGCCATCATGGTTGTGAAATTTAATGCTTGTGGCGCATTTATTTAGTGAGCACTTCTAGTGGTTTTCAACTTAACCGCTATATGGGTAGTGGGTGTGGTTATTATCTGATTTTATACATTTTCATAAAGTTTGATGAGGTGCTAAAATGACTTATTCTCAGAAAGTTCTAACTTTTTACTCATGTTTTCGCTTGAACGGACAGATGCCAGACGGACGGACAGATAGTC